GCTCACACTTGCTGGTACATGCGTGGCCGTGGAGTACAGCATGAAGGTGTTCTCTCACTGGCTTCTCTGGACATGTTGGAGCGTGACATTTTGAAGTTTGTGTACATGTACACACATGCAGTGAAACCCTCCCGACGCACACTACGGTAATTTAATTAACTTCCCAGAAAAGTTGTGCCTATCGTGCAACGGCCAATATCAGGTTATTTGTGTGTAATCATCACATCCTGTATGATTACACACCTGTGGTGTATATGTTGCTCATTGTTCACCACTAGTTTGCTACATGTATTAAATGGACGAACATATTTGCGTTTATAAGAAGCGTATTGTTGGAAGATCATTACATTTTCCAACATCTCCATGGCATTGGGCCAATTACAGAATTACCCTGCTAGTTGTAATGCAAAGCACCTGTAAATACATCGCGTTGTAAGTACCTGTCTTTGATAATCCTATTGTTTTAAATGCGTAAATCACACGAGTTAACAAGCATTGTCTGTGTGCATTGTTGCGGACATTGAAAGTGATGACGACATACCGAAGCGCGGTGGTGCTCATCTCTGTCAACGTAGATGATCAACACAAAGTTAATATTTGTTTGGCTCGTTCATCCATCAGGTACATGCATGAATAGAAGGACCACTTCAACCCACGCTGTGCCGAAATGGATGTCTTGATCAACACTGTGCAGTCCAAGGTGGCAGAAGGCGGCGACTTGCAGTGCAAAGACATATCCTTTATAAGTGAAAATCTCTACCAATGTTATCACATCAAACAAGTATTCACTAGTGCAATTGAGACCTTGGGGTCAGAGACCAAGGCCAAGACCTTAGGGTTCAATTATGAGACATAGTCTAAGGAATTCAAGTCCAAGACCAACCGTCAAAGGTCTGCAACCGAGACAAACACTAAGACCTGGACCGAGATCGAGGCCTACATTTAGTGGTCTGGGACTGACACTGAGATCTACCAGTCGGACATCTAGATTGAGACCTGCAGGTCTGATACCTTGACTGAGGCCCGGAGGTCAGAGACTAAGACTAAACCTGTACTGGTCTGAAGCTAAGACCTAGGAGTCTGATACTTAGACTGAAATCTTGAGGTCAGAGACCGAGACCTGCAATTGTGGTTTGAGAATGGGACCTGGAGGTCTAAAGACTAGACTAAGGCCTGAAGGTCTTACATTGAGACCTTGAGGTCCAAGACAGAGACCTAGAGGTCTGAGACTGCGATTTGCATGCCTGAATCCTTGATTAAAACCTGTAGGCAGTGGTAGGTTTGAGACCTACAGATTTAGACCTTGATGTCCAAGATTGAGACATAGAGGTCTGCGACTCAGAGCTCTTACACATCGATTGAGATCTGGAGGTCCGATACCTAGACTGAGACCTGGTAATCTGATGCATGTACATGTACCTACATGTAGATTGAGATCTAGAGATCTTCAAATAGACAAGATTTACAACACTGCTCAGAATTTACGTGTACTGTGAATTTACCATGAAAGAGCTGCTTCAAATGGTTAATTAGATGCATGTATCCTAATTTTGATACTTAACATTCACACTGTGTCGTAGGAACTGTGGTACCAGACTTGAGCAATGGCAAATATGCATTTGCCCTGGTGCACTGCCCTGCAGCCGGCACACAGGCGTGAGTATCCACCCTTCTCCTAATTCAGAAGGTGTTAACCGTGACAGTCCTGAATCGTCCAAATTCAGAGCAACTTTTTACCTAACTGGAAAATGGGTTTTTGGAAGATCTACAAGTGAACAGTGAAGTTTGAACATTTTTTGTACAAGATTTTTTTCTGTTCTTGGTTGTCAGCAGGGGCCGATAAATTGAATAGAATTTCGTATTGTAAGAAGAGAATGGATTTCTTCCCTTTCCTTAAGCTCTTTATTTTTTTAATCTTTGCAGGCTGTTTGTGTACCGCTGTCAGCCTCTGGTTAAAACCCCCCGCGATTTGTCGTTAGCAAAAGTCATTGCAGTCACCAGCGAGTTCCAGTACGTAATCGGTAAGTAATAAATGTCTCTTTTTTCTTTAATTTTTCGGAATTTAATTGTTTCCTTTTCATCTCTTAAAACTGGATAGAGCAGATGATTTTTAAAAGCATTTATATAGTTGCTAAACTCAAGCACTTCCCTTTTGTAGCCGATAATTCTTAACATTGGCTGTTCTCTGTCTTTTTTTGGGGGGGATAACTACGTGTACAATGGTTCGTATGTCCACCAGCTTGGTATGTACAGTGTATACGCTTGGAGCGGCGCTTGTCAAAACAATTGCAAGACATTTCCAAAAGGAACAAGAAACGTTGCCAATTTTTTAGGCGGTCCCTCGAGGTTTAACTGATTTTTAAATTATCTTTGCCTTGTCCTCATTTCGTGACCCGCTGATCAGAGTTTCGCTTCCTTCAGTCATCCCCTTGCTGAACCCTGTGATTAATGCTGATACTAACAGTATCGTCCAACCGTCACTCAACCTAGAATCTCCTTGTTGCAGAACAGAATGGTTGAGTTGAACCATTCCAAGCGATTGCCTCTGTGAGACAAACATTTTTCGAGGATGAGTAAATACAGCATGCGGGGCATCAACTGCCATCATGTGGAGATGTTGAGGCTGTGACAGTCCCCCATTCCCTCGCGGCCCTTACCTCAATTTTTAGAGTTGCGCCTCGAGACTTGATTCAATTTCCTCCCCTTGACAAGATTGGACGATAGCAGGAGGTGACTCCCTCAAGAAAAAAATTGTGGCTGGTTGTCTGAAACAATTTGCCCGAGTACCCGCATGATGGTAATTGCGTCACTCACAATACATTGACGTCAGGACTCTGATACGAAAGCTCATGAGTCAGTGCATTTCACTTGTGTTTCCCCCTCAGCTCTGGGCAGTTTGCAAGAAGTCAACTCGTTGAGTCAGTGCAACTTTTTTTGTTTTTAACGTAAGCCGAGACCAAATGCCTAGTTGAGTTTTTCCTTGTGTTAAACACCCTGTCTTTGGTTACACTTTCCTTTGACGACCGATTCTCTTCATTACATTGAATCTCGGAAAGCTCGCCCACGCCCAGACCAGGAAACAGGAAAACTGAAGTAGATCAATGCCAATTATTTTTCGGTTAAGCAAAAAACCAAAGTGGGATACATGGAAGTTTCTCAGTATAACGAAACCGGGGATTCCTCAAACGTGCCACCATAGCACTGTTTACGTGGCTCACAAGCCCAATTGCACTGAAGACATTTAAGGTTCAGGGGATGGTAGGAAAAATCCCAGATAACTAAACTCATAAAATGAGGTAGGAAATGAAAACCCAACGGGCATGTCGACCTGGATGGAATTCGAACCTGGGTCGCAGAAGCAGGAGACGAAAGAAGGCACCGCTACATCGACGGGTCTTTTTAAGACAGAATACATGTATATGTATTTTTAATGTCATGTGTGGTTCACATGGTACTTTACCGAGTTTCTATGTTTGATTAGAAAATATGTGTCACATGTACTTAGCAGATTTGTGAGCTCAGCTGTGCAGAAATCAGCTGGGAACCTTCGGAAACAATGTACATCACATGACACATTTACTTTGACTGGTAACCATTTTTGCTAAGCAGCTATCTTTGGCGCTCAGCAACTTTCTATTCACAGCTGTCCCATGAAACCCGCTCCACACTGTTTAATATACTGCACTCCCAGTGCAGTAGCTGTCCGTCTAGTGCGTCCAATTACGGGACAGTAGCTGTCTGTCTAGTGCCTCCAATTACGGGACAGTACCTGTATGGTAATTCAGTCAGCAGTCAGTGCTGAGTCACACAGAGTTGCCTAAAAATAAAACCAGCCACAAGTCCATATTTAGCCAGTTGCTTGGGTACTGTACATGTCCGTGCCAAGTATGACTAAAGGGGGACTATCACCAAGGCACAGGCGCCTTGCAGTTTTAGAAAGTTACTTGGGCTGGAGGTTTTCAAGGTTTTCTTCCCACCTTGTTACTTGTCGCTAGGCACTGAAAGGAGTAAGTGTGTCTGACTATTTCCTTATTTGTCTTGAAAATACAAGAGTGTACTCGTAGATTATCCACGGCTGTAGAATCCTGAGACTAAAGACCATGTCGATGATGTACATCTCCTTTTCATATATGTACATGCGCACTGACAGTAACATAGTAGGCCTACATGTACGGTACGTACATGTGCGCCATGTACATGTATTAGAGAGCATCAGAAATGGTGCGAATGTGGGATAGATTTGCCACTGGAAAAAGCTGGACGGTTATGCATGTACATTGTATCACCAACAGGGGTGTGAGAATTCAGCTTTTTAGCCGATTTCAGCTTTTGTTGTTTAGACGTTAACCCTGAATGTCAGATGTTTTCGTACACCCGGTCCGTACAAAAGTATGGGGACTTTTTACATTTCAGCTTTTTTGCTGGATGTTTTCAGCTTTAATTTTAAGCGGCTACTCACACCCCTGCACCAATTTGTGCAGTTGTTTCAGAAATTTAATGTCTACAGGCGAGCGTGGTGAAATGGCCATTGCTAACGGTACACAAAGCTGTGATTTAACAGGTTTCCCCCCCCCCCAGGCAGGGGATGCATCCTGTAGCATGCCATTTCCAGTGGTCTCTGTTGGCCTACATGTGTGTATACACACACATACATGTACATGCTTGCAAAGGAAATGTGCATCGGCCTCGGGTAGATGAACTTTAAAAGAGAGCAAGGAGTGTGCACATGTGCATTGTTTATACAGATGTTGTTGCATGTGATATTGTAACCTGCATGTACAGCTTTCACTGTAGGCGTTCAGTACACTGTCAATGCCATCAACCATACGGTTCGTGTACATACATGTGCATAGTACAATGTATGTGTGTACATGAGGTTTTCTAATCAATCACTGATGCATGTTATGGCCCAAGCGTATAAGCCCCTCCCCCACAGTATCCCCCACTATTAATGCTCAAAAATGTTGTTTCCACCAAATCAGAGGTTAAGTTGTTGACCATAAACGCATCCTCTGCTCAGCACTTGAAGGTTATTTTTCTCCAGAGGGATACTCAGCTAATCTCAGATGAACTTGTGTAGTGGGTTAAATTTCATCTGGTCTCCTTTTCCCCATGCATACAATTTTGGCTGGTACTCTTAGGACATGTACTGTATAAGAGCATAAGACTTTGCCTTACTTTCAGTTACCAGCTGTATGACGTAACGCAAACTCAGCTCTTTTAACCCTGCCATACGCAGTTCGCACAGTGCCCCAAATAAAGAAATACGGTGGTTTCCCACAATGTTACAGTTTGTTAAAATTTAAAACAAAAAAGCCATCAGATGTCTTGTAAGTGTGCATGTTATTGCTCGGCACATCCACATTTTATTACTTCTACCTTGACCGCTCGTCACCAGGATGACATATTTTGTCATTAGAGCGAGTCACCAAGTTTCCCTATTAACTCAGTGTCCAATCCAGGAAGTCTGCTGTTGATTTCTTCAGACTCTAACTTGTCAAGGAACCCCCCCCCCCAAATTTCATTACAGGAAATCACACGGGTCAATTGTTTCACAACAGTGTGCCCTGTTTATTACTGCCATTACGAGGCTCAAATGACATGGGAAGAATGTTTGAGAGCAATCTAGAGGACTGGGAAGTCAGCGCAAGGTCAGGTCACAGGGTCATGGGCTGATCTGGCTTGGAGCTGGAATAGGCAATTACTGTAGTGTTTTTGCGTAGAGGCCAGACAGGATGTAAGAGAATTGGAACACACTGGTCCACTATGCACAGTGGGGCCTACATGTAAATGCACATGTTGTACATGGACGCGTACATATCCAGTCTTGTTTGCCTCTGTGTGTGAGAGATCTCTGTAAACTGAGTCGGCAGTGCGGTCTATTTCTACCTCCATGGTCATACAGTTCTGCTTAAGATGGTTGTGCAGTTTTGATAGAAATGAAAGAAGCTCAGCAGGTGGACAACGTACATGTACATGTAAGTGTGCATTAGGATGTACCTAATCAGGAGGGGTATGTGCATACTGTAGGTGTGTTTTCTTCACAAGTGTATGCACAGTTGATGCTGCAGCAGGTCAGATTTTTTTGTGCACATGTGTTACGTACATACATGTAGATGCAAATTGCCAGGGCAACAGATGTGTGCGGCATGAAAAGCAGGACTTGAATACATGTACATGTAACTTGTGCAGTGCGTAATGACGTGTGAACATGCCAACATGTAGGGCCTACATTGTACATGCTTTCTCATGATGTTCTGTGCTTATTGAAGATTCATACATGTACATGTAGCTAAGATAAACATGTAGCTTCAGGAATTTTACAGTTCTTTTGCAGGCTATAAAAATTTATGACTTCACAAGATCATGCCCTTCTGAACTTCAGTGACCTGTATATGTTGGCAGCATGCATACAGTGTGGTCCTGGTTGGACTTTAATGCATGAGGCACTTAGGTGCTATTTCCCTATTATGTTTGTTCAATGATGCATGTCAAGAAAATGGATTTGCGATCTTCGGAGATCCAGCAAAGTCCACCAACAGGTAGGGGAGGAATTGTACAGGATCGGGAAAGCTTTATTTGGCTGACAATGCAAATTTGTAAGTTACAAATTTCTTATTTTCCGTAGGAACGCCGACGGTAGATCAGGGCATCTTGCAAGTCAAGATCAACTCCCCGGATTCTGCCTTAGTTGTTGAGGTTCCGTTCGAACCCAGATCCTCCAGTTTCTTCATGAACATCAAAAAGTGTGCAAACGGTGAGGGGCCCCCTTGTTTACTTCCATGTAGCAGACGAGAAATTGATTGGTTGAGTTCTGACCCTTGCCTTGAAATTTCACCCTTTTTATTCCTCCGAATACATGTACATGTACTTCTGTAAAAAGGGGTTAGCCTGCACAGTCACATTGAATAACAGATGTTGTTCTGATCAATTTGTTGAAAAGTTCAACAGACTTTTCATTTCAGAATGGATCTTTCTTCCCTCAAACCAAAAGCAGGGTGAGCAAACCTTTTCTTTTCACAATACAAGAGCTGACTATGAACCCTGGATCTGTACTATATCTACAGTGTGCGTGGAGAGGATGAAGCAGAACGTAGCTCCACAGTTCCAGTGGTTGGACAAGTACAGGGCCCAGCTGGTGGCGGCGCTGGGCTCCCCGCAGGACCCGTTCGAGCCAGCCACCTTCTATGCCACTATACCGGCCTCCAACACGTCCCCGTCCACCAACCAGCCGGCCCTCGTTGAGCCGTTCCTGGACCCTTTTGCCGATCTGGCCAGCAGGGGGCAGCCTCGCAGGACTAGCGAGTACGTGAATGCGGCGGACAGAAACGCGGATCTCACGACAGTGATCCCTGCCCCGCACTCTGCCAACACTCTGCCTGCCATGTCCAGTCGGAACAGTTATGTCAATTGTCCCGAGGATCCAGGATTTCTGGTAGACCTAGAAGGGAACATTTTGACACCGCCAACGATGGTTCACCCAGAACCCCCAAAGGACGGCATTCCTTCAGGTAAGAAATATTAAAAAACTCCCATGCACTACTTGCTGCTCTTTAATTGACAACTTTTCATGGAAAAGCTGTGTAGAACATCACGTCTGTTTCAGTTTTTGGAATCTTTTGCCCTGTAGCCCAACCTTTTTTCCTGTACCAAGTGCAAGCACTTTCAACCCTGCAAAGCACCTGTCGTAAAAAGCCAGTGAAATCCCACAAGCTCTTTTGAAATTTGTCATACATGTGGTTCGAAATGTCCAGGTACATGTAAATGATTTATTTTATACTTGTAGTTTGCAGTATTTGTGTTCAGATTCAACGGAAGTAAATGTTACTTGCAAGGATTTTTGTCCTCCAAACTACGCAACCAATGATATCTGGAAGCCGCTTCTGCCCTGTTGCTTAGTGTCCGACTTGAATGAAAGCAATGGCAGTCTGTCTATTGTTAACTTCCAACATGTCCAAAGGGCACAATTTTCTGAAGGCCTAGTTAAGTTAAGCACATGTACATGCAAGCATTCATGCACTCCACAGTTACTTGTGGCCCATTTTGGTACATTTTGGTCCCCCGTGTACCTGTGTCTTGAATCGCTGTATCAATTTGGGGTCCAATTTTTTTTTTTGTTTCAATTTTCTGTCACCTCTGACATTGCAAGGTTAGAACGCATTTTTTTATTTCCAGGAGTGATTAAATAATGCAGATTACCTGCCGAACAAATAGAAATAGTTTAAAGCCACTTCAGTGATATCTCCATGTCAATATGCCAGTACAAGCCAGTATGTTCCTGTAACGGGAACCCCCAAAAGTGTAACTTCTGGACCCCAAATTTATGGAATGACCCTCCCGCGTACTTTGTATTTTTATAGCAGGGCACAGTGTTTTTAACCATCAGAATCAAAACAGTGCATGTTCGAACAATGGCACTACTAAATGAAGTTTCCTGTACGCAATACGATTCACCGGCATTCTTGATATGCTCTGCTGGGACACAGGCAGATGTTGCCTTGCCCAATTTCCCTTGAAACGCTGCCGGGCATTTCCTGTTCTCATTGGAAGAGTATTTGTCAGGGACAAGGGGATAATATACATTACATGTATATCCTGTCCCGAGGGATTTCCTCAAATGTCACTGTTTGTTCATTGCTTTATGGTCAAATACATGTGCATGCGTGTCAGTATAGTACATACATGTACTTGCATGCATGCGTCAGAAGGAACATGTAGACCTACATGGATATGTACGTTTATGTACATGTACATTTATCGCATACATGTACATGTATACGTGTACTTGGGTGTGTAGTGTATACATGTACGTGTACCTGTATGTTGATTCACATGGTGACCTACATGTACAGGTGCATGTTCATGTACTAGTAAGTGTACATGTACATGTAAGTGTACATTGTACATGTACATTGTACATATACGTCAATTCATCAGGCACTGGTTCTTACATATGTACATGTGTACATGTATACATGTGTATATATACATGTGCATGTGTTCATTATTTTCCCGAACATGTACATGTGCTGGTTCCGTACAAGTTATGCATTAGTCCTAGCACACTGGATGAAATCCCTATGCCATGCTCAGCCAGCCGGATCAGGTTTTTTTTTATCATGCAAATTATTGCTTTTCATAACACTATTGTTGAGGACAGAATGGAGGCCTGCCCAACTGAGACCAAGAAGTGCCAATGCCCGTGTTATAATGTTCATTTCCTGATACGGAGTAAAAGCCAGGACAGTCTGAATGCGGGTTTTGGTGCTTTGGAAAAATAATGGGGCAGTTTTGAATTTGCACCCGGCTTCTCCTCGAGGTCTCAAATTTTGTGGCCGCCGGCCATTAGTGGTTCGGTTGAGGCACTGTCGATTGTCACGTGTGACTGATGTCGACTCGGGTGAATGAATTTGTCACGATGTAGTGAAAGAAGTCGTTGCACGGATTTCATCGGCTTTGCAATTTGTCAGTTTTGCCCCCCCCCTCCCCCGTGGAATGAGTGTAATGTGTGTGAAAGCAAACTTCAAAGAACTCCACAGGCGTAATGCAGTGCGAAGAGGTAAGTGGGAAGGATAACTACGTCTGGTACATAGGAGTCCTCCATCCTCTGATTTCAAGGTGATTTGACACAGGGTCAGGGTTAATACATGGAAACGTGTAATCCCGAAACCAGTACTCCAGGAAAATGCATGAGTTTGAGCAGTTTAAAGTAGGGCTGTGCCGAACATCCACATATTTGATCGATTATTGACTATTCGAATATTGTTTTCCGAATGTGAATATTCGAATGCAAAATTCATGAAAAGGAAGGGAGATTTTTTTGGTTGACAACTCTGCATTTACATGCACACATATGTGAATAAGTACATTGCATATCATCGATGCATTTCGTGTTGGTCACGGTAGATTGGCTAATACCTTGGTGGACCGTGATGTCCTGCAGGGGTACAGAACTGGTATTCTCTCTGCTTCACCAAAGCTGCTCCAATGGTGGTCAGGTTAAATGCCCTCGGGCAAGTCACTGTGCGCATCTTCGCCTGTCTCCGCTCAGGACTTGGTGACAGACTACTAGCCCATCCAGGGGGGTGATAGAAGTACTCTAAGTTGTTTCATGCCAACCAACGCGGAGATAAAAACTGGCCAGACGAGCCAACTTGGCTGTGAACTGGCTCGTGCGTTCATTCAGCTTTGAAGGGGCCTCTGTGTTAAAAGACTGAAGTTTAAGGCTTTGACATTGATCAGTGGTCAACTTTGAAGAGGGTTTATACTTTCTTGTCTTGCAGCTAGTCCGTGGAAGCAAAGCAATAACTTGTCGGAGTCAAACAGAATATCAACGTCATCCAGTTCAAGTAAGTGCAGTACAGTGAATTATTCACCTGTGCTCTACATGTACATATAAATCTGACCACAGCTCTCTACTTCACTCGGCTTAATTCATTCAAGATTACGTCTTGCACAGTCAGTCTTTTTGCGAGTCAAATTTGAATAAAATCTGGTACACTGTGCTATCTTATTGCACATAAACATAACAATTTGAATTCCCCAGACTAAACACACTGTCGCTACACCTCTCGATTCAGGGCAAGTTTTTGCATAGCGACCACCATCTCTGGAATGGACTGGTTCCTCTGTGCCTTTCTTATCCATTGAAAACAGTGTATTGTAACAAGGCATCTCTTATGTAACTAAGCAAAGCTTGCCCCGAATCATGAGGTATAGCAACAGTATCTTTAGTATGGAGAATTCAAATTGGAAATGTTCACGTGAATTCAAAGAACTCATTGTACCAGATCTTATGCAAATAGGACTCACAAATGGCTTATGACTATCCTTGTGCTGAATACATGTACACGTATGTACGTGTACATGTAGTGTAAATGTACACATCCATGTAGATATCATATGCTTGAGAAATTGTTATCAACTTTACTTAGAAGTAAGGCAGTGCAAAATGTGTGAATTGTTTCATTAGTGAGGAGTCCAGAAAATCATCAATCTGAGCAATTAATCTTCAATCAATCAATCATCATCACTGAGCTCTTGTATAAGCAGTTCATTGTCAGAACAGTAATATCACATTTGAACGTAAACCTTTGTCATGAAAAGGGCCTCCTTGTTTTTGGTCCCAGGTTCAGAATCTAAAACTCAGAGCTCTCTGCTTGGCTTTGAGGACGACTTCAATGACTTCATTAAAGTTTCTACGTTACAACCGGCCGGTACTTTGTACGAGAATGCCTCCACGGCTTCAATTACGAACTCCGGCTCCACTGGATCATTGGAACTGTTCACAGACCAGTCTTCAAAATCTTCTACACTGTAAGATACATGTACCTTTACTGTACATAAGGCAAAAATCCCAAGTTGTTTCCTTTGAAAGATCTCTAGTTTTTCCTGGACTCAGGGAGGGTAAAGCTCTGTATTTTTAAAAAAGATTTCCTTGTGATGTGTGGAATAATACCGGTATTCTGAACATACCAATTACATCTGATGAAAAAAAACAAATAGCATGTTCAAGAAATTAAGGGATGGAAGTCGATATGGAGACACGGAATAAGTTAGTGACTGAGGGTTTTGGTTATTGCCGCCAGTCGCTTATGCATATACAGGAGGTAGCCTCAGCCTCTGGCCATTAAAAGTGGCCATTGGCTCTATAGAGGGATTTCACATTAGCTCCATCTGCGCATATCCGCATCAAAGCCGAGGCTCTCTGTGTTGAACTTCATCGCGCGCCCGCGGAGTCGACACAGTACATGCAGTATCCGGTTCGTAAGTGTGACGCCACTTTCGTTTAAGCCACACCCACTGCACATGCAGATACGCGACCATCGCAGGTACGTTAGTTCGCGGTAAATTGCCGTTATTTTTTTCTTTTGATTTTACGTGTTGAGTCATCCTGAAAGACTCTTCGACAAAAAGTTGAAACCTGGAAAGTCTTAATGTAACATACCTTTATGTATTTTGTGTCTTGACTCCTTACTTTCAATCGTCTGATCGTATTAAGAATTGAAGCTAACACATACAGCCTCGTTTTCAAATGCGGAAATGCGCAGATTGACGCTAAAAGCATTGTATTGGGATCCCTCTATTACCCACAATGCTTCTACTGGGCAAACTGAAGACTCTCAGACGCAGTCTTCCCTTTGTGGCGCTCTGGATTATTAAGTCTAGCTCCTCTTTGACTGCTCACATCGGCAGTGTCCCTGCTGACGACACAGACCTAGGCGGCTACGCCACCATCAAGCCCGTCTTCAAGCCGGCCGGCATCCGGCCCGAGATCCTGAAGCGGCGGGAGGCCGAGTACACTTTTCCTCACGAGTTCCGGGTCTTCGTGGGCACCTGGAATGTCAACGGCCAGACGGCCTCGGAGAGCCTGGCGCCCTGGCTGAACGTGGACGACAGGCCGGCTGACCTGTACGCCATTGGCTTCCAGGAGCTGGACCTGAGCAAGGAGGCCTTCCTCTTCAACGACTCGGCCCGGGAGGAGGAGTGGAACAAGGCCATCGAGAAGACGTTACATCGGGTTGGCTCTTACATCAAGGTGAGTTGTGAGCACTGCTATCTTATTTTTGATAACGCAACACAGATCCCTCAGAGGTGCCTGTGATACTGTGAACTTTCCAGTCTAAGGAAACATGCAGAGAGAAGAGGGTGAAGACTTATTCATTTCTAGGAGGGCCTGAAAACCCATTCTAGACCTTGGCGTGGGTGGGATTAGAACTCGGGTCACAGAGGTGGAAAGTGGAGAAAGAAACAGTGAGCCGGCTCGACTCCCTACTTCGAGAAGGCCGTGTTCCTGTGCAAGTCAAATTTATCTATGGTAGAAATGCTTTCCTGACTCCCCGCTGTGTTTTGCCGCATTTCAGGTGAAGCTGGTGCGGCTTGTAGGAATGATGCTGCTGGTCTTTGCCAAGGAGAGGCACGCGCCTTTCATCCGCGACGTCATCGCCGACACCGTGGGCACGGGCATCATGGGGAAAATGGTGAGCAGAATGTTTTGAGACATCCAGAAATGTGCCTCCGAGAGGAAACTGCCCCCTTTCAGCCGGTCTCTTGCTGGATTCTTCGATCAATAGATGCTAACGCTGCCCTTTCATCCTCCCTCTTAGGGTAACAAAGGAGGCGTGGCAGTGAGGTTCGAATTCCACAACACGTCATTCTGCTTCGTCAACTCTCACCTGGCAGCCCACATGGAGGAATACGAGCGGAGGAACCAGGTGGGATAGGGTTAAAACCCTACGGGGCGGGTATCACTTAAACAAGAGCCCATCCAAAGTCTGGCTTTGAATGTTATCCACTCTGATCTTCAGTTGGTTTTATTGAACCAACTCCGCTTAAAGGTGCTTAAAAATATTCCAAATGTTAAGCCCTTTCCTCTTGAATCAAAAGTGAAAAATGAAGCGTAACTTTCTTTGAACTGAAGAGTTCAGGCTAAGGTCACGTGTAGTGAAAAGCTCTTGAGATGCATTTTAAGTTGCCACAAAATGTTTGGTTGGAACCTTGTCTCGACCACACATGAATGTAGTCACACACCATTGCTTCTCCACCTCTCTCCAGGATTATAACGACATTTGCAGCAGAATGAAGTTTGAGTTGACACCAGAGGGGCAGCCCTTATCCATCACCCGCGGTCATGAGTAAGTGTGTGTCACTTGGTAGAATTTTGGGTCAGCATTTTTAAAAGATTTCCCACAGGTATTTCTTGGTCATGGTAGCCCCTGACCCCCAAGCCCAAAGTTTTGAATTTCAAACTTGCACATGATGCAGAATGTGCGAGGCCAGTTTTCGTCTGAAATTGCACAAAAAGCCTATGATCGTGTGGGCACTGGTTTTCCAAGGGACAGCATGGTAGCCTCCCACCCACTCCCCATTTTTTTTTAATTTCAAACTTGCACGTGATGCAGAATGTTTGTGACCAGTTTTCATTTTAATGTGCACAAAGCACCTATCATCAAGCACCAAGAGACAGTAGTTTCCAATGTGTGCCATATCTTTGCTGGAATGGTTTTTGTGTTCACAATCTGCGACGACCCAAGGAATTGAAATATTTTGACCTGATGGTTGTTCATAATCTCCCTCCTCGGCAGAGTGGTCATCTGGATGGGGGATCTCAACTACCGCATCAGTGACCTGTCGGTGGACGTAGTGAAAGTTCACATTGACAGCAAAGACTTCAAGACACTCATGGAGCATGACCAGGTGCATTCACGGTGTCACTTTTTATTGTTTCCGCCACACAGTGCAGTTTCCTTATATTCTGCTTGTCACATTTGGCTGCATTGACTCCGACATTGCTCAGTTGGGATCAGTTCTATGGAACTACTAAACAGGACACAATGTTAACTGGCATTTTATGCAAAGCTGAAATGAGCAAAGAACCAGTTTCAAGCGATACGCTTTGCCTCGCACTTTGGCCGGTAACCTGTCTCTGCTAAGCGTAAATTTTCTGTGCTTAACAGGTTTTTGTCCTTTGCAACTCTGAAGAAGTGATGAAGTGTGCACATAGTCCCATTTCACTTCAAACAAATGCCTGACTTTAATCTCTGACTTTAACCGCGTTAAAGATGCCAAAATTTCCTGTCAAAAACATCAAGTAGAAATTCACACTGAAAAATGATGACGCGAACATATCAGGTTGCATAAAGTCAGCAGCCGTCATTTCCATCGAGGGACAACACCATGACATCATAGATCAATTTTTTATCTAGTATTAATTTCTATTTATTGGCAGCTGTTCAGACAGCACAGAATAGAGAAAGTATTCAAAGGGTTCAAGGAAGGAGAGATCACGTTCCGACCAACCTACAAGTACGACCCCGGCACAGACAACTGGGACACAAGGTGAAGACGGAATTCTTGTTTTAGTTGATTCCCTGCGCTTGCCCTCGGGAAAACTCTTTTTGGATTGGCATGATATTCTTAGTGGTGTCCTGCAGCATCCATATTTTGTGAATAAAATTAGAGTGAGTTGTGAGTGCGAAGTTTTCCAAGCACGTTTTGCTTGTATGTGATACCACACACAAATCAATGAAGAAAAAAATGATTAAGGGGAGTTTGTGCTGTAGCATCTGCAAGACAAATGCTTGCTGCTATTGTTTTTGTTTATTTGTTTATTGATTTTAAATCTGTCCACTCCCTTGGCCAAAGGCCAAATTACGGTGAGAATTTCAGCAGTTAAAAAAACAAAATCAACACAAGGTTCATTAACAAAAATAACCAACATGTTAGAATTTTAAATGCCTCAATATCAACTCAATTAAAAGGTCAAATGGACAGAAACATTCCTAATTCCTAAAGAGCACACAATTTTCCCATCAAAACCAGAGATTTGAATACATGCACTCGACCCCTTCGCTACGGAGGACTGCTACTACCGCGCCATTGCGTGAGGATTAGTGCATACCACACATACAGTCTATTCACCATGCAGCTGCTGGTTCAATGGGGCCTGCTGCTGGACAAAGCCCTCCATTCAGGGCATGCCGCAGCCCAGCAGTCACGGTCAAAATAATCCCGCCGTGAAAGGGTTAACAAAATACCATTTGAAAAAAACAACACACCAATGACCAGTTGATAATCAGACATACTGATATTGCATTAAGGGAAGATCAAAATTATCTATTTAGTAAAGTAACAGATTAGGGATGGGGCTGTTTCTAGACCTAGAGGTCCTGGTATGCAGCTGGGAAACATTGTGTGCATTACGCAGGCTGCTTTGTGTCTTGAATACGGACGATTCACAATAGTGCGCCTCCAAGAGTTTGCAACGCGATGGCCAGTCACAGTGCACGAAGTCTGTCGATGCAATGTGTGTTCGGAAAGGGTTAACAGACTTCATGCATTGTGATTGGCCAACACGTTGCAAACCTTTGGAGGCACGCTATTGTGAATGGCCCGTATTGCCTCTGTTTGTTTAAGCTTCAAGGCAACCATTTTCATTTTATATGTAGTTTATACAGCAGGTCACGTTTTTTCTTTATTTGACTTCAACCCTGTCTTGTCTTCCCAGTGAGAAGCAGAGGGTGCCCGCCTGGTGCGATCGCATCCTCTTCAAGGGCAAGACAATCAAACAGCTAGTCTACCGCAGCCACGATAAGTGCAAGCTGAGTGACCACAAGCCGGTCAGCAGTCTCTTTGATATAGAGGTACGTAGGAGCATCGATGAGCACTTGTAGGAAAGTTGTTGTCAAGATCTTGTCAGACCATCACACGGCCAACACTAGCCATCCAGTCCTAAATTCAAGTCCTAAGCAGTCTCGACTGCAGCAAAAGCATTCCTTTGTCATTCTTCACCTCGGTACTTGTGACTGGTCTCATATCCCGTCTTGTGATGTCTCAACTACAACACCGACTTGTGAAAGTATCTCCAAATCTTATGCTCTTTGTACAGGTCATGTGAAGGAATATTTAAAGATTAAAACTTCTGTGCTCGGTATTTAAGCGGCACCAGATCCCTCTTGGCATAACAAAGAGAGTGATAAACGAGAGGCACTTAAACACTGGTGCTTGCCACGCACCCACAACCTTCTAGCCGTGTTCTAGGAACAGGTGTTAACTGCTTTCACGGGGGTGGGGATTGTAAAAAAGCTTTCCAAATACACGTCGCTATCTATTCAAGAATTCCCACGGTAGTTTGTTCGCTCTTTACCTTGCATCGCCGCGATGCTTTGCAATACTGTGCTTTTGTTCTCTACTCGTCTACTTTTAGGTGAAGGTCGTTGATGAGAAGAAGTTCAAGCAGGTTGTGGAGGAGGAGATCCGCAAGTTGGACAGGCAAGAGAACGAAGCACTACCTCAAGTCGCCCTCAGTCGGAACGATGTAAGGGATTGCTTGCCTTGCTCTGCAGCCTAGCTCTGCAGCCTAGCTGCAAAATGATCTTTGTAGCAAAACTTTGCAGGCTTTAGAAACTCTCGGTACAGGACGCTCCCCACGTGGTGAAAATGAGAACAGTTCTGTCAATCGAGAAACTTTTTCCTGGTTACCGGTGGTTCTCTGTGCATGTTAACATTACATGTGAACCAGCCAGATGATAGCTCCCACATCTAGACTAGTTCCAAGCCCCCTTTTCAAGGTCTCTGTATAAGAAGGACAAGGAACCAGCCTACCCAACCCTTGTTGGTAAATGCACAAGGGTTCCCAATTAGGAACAGAAGAAGAATGCATTTGGTGCAGTAAAATAACCTTCGCTTGCCCCCTATTTCCTTGCTTACTTCCCTCCATTGTCCGTAGTCGATGGCAGTAGGGCATATCTTCGATCCTCAGACAGTCTCCCTATTCACTAACGTGCAATTTCGCCGTGTATTAGGATTTGATAATGCCTGTTGAGAAGTGATAATGCCCGCTGCGTAAATTAGGCATTAGCACCTGGATTTAAAACAGTTTAATCGATTCTGATTGGTCAAGACACTGTTTGCACATGGCTCGCCACGCGGGCACCAATTTGACAATTTTCACAAGTAGTATTCCATAAAATTGGCAGGGGTGTTGGGGAAAATAAAAGTAAAATTCTAGAACAAAATCGATAGAAATCCATCATATATTGGTCTTAAACGCACGGTCTTAAACGCACGTTTAAGACCGGCCAAGCACATATTTATTCCCTTCTTAAAGGTTATCTTTGTACATCCAAACAAAATCTGCACGCCTTTCTTTGTCGGACACAGCTGAAGTTTAAGGACGTGCGCTACATGGAACCGCAGATGCTAACGCTGGACGTCGCCAATGTCGGCCAGGTCAACACAGTGGCCAAATTTGTCAACAAACTGGACGACAAGCACTTCTGTAAGGGCTGGTTAAAGGTGGAACCAGTGGAAGTATTCTTGATGCCCGGTAAGGGAATTCTTATTTCCTTGGGTAACAGAAATCATTGCTGGTCAACTTTGAGGGGATTGGAAAACGTCAATTGGGTGCAGTTGTCAATCCAGTCATACTTGGTGCCAGTTCGGCTTTCCATCAGCGCATACCCAAAATGAATCGTGTCCGAGGTCATGCAGAACAGCAGTACAGGCACACGAAGTCTGCCTTGTCAGTGTACCCATTCGCCGACTCACACGCGTGTTATGTTCTCCAATAACCTCGCCGTGTTGAAATACTGAACTGGCTCATCGGATTTGTTCAGACCACTTGAAGAATATTTTGTATTTGTTAAGGACATTGAACTCTTGAAATTGGCTGTGTACGTAATGGTAAACACTACTGCTGCGTCGGTAAAGGCACCTGACTACCCTGGTGTAATCACCTCGCCCTTTTTTGTGTTACATTCTGAATTGCACAGCGCCCTCAATGGGTACTGAACGGAGTGAATAGGTTGACTTTGAGGTCCATGTTGAACCTCACCATTGTTAACAGATTGTGTTGTTCGCACGAGCTCATGAATTGTGGTCATTCTCACTAATGGGCTCTGATTGGTGTCACTATTTCCAACACCCGTTAAGCTGAACAAACTCTTCTCTTTCTATTGTTCCCTGCAGGTGACACAGTGGAATTCTCCATCGTAGTACAAGTTGACAAGAGCTCCGCGGCTGCCCTAAACTCAGGGGAAGACAATCTGGAGGACATACTGGTGTTTCACCTCGACAACGGCAAGGATTACTACATATCCTTTGTTTGCAATTTTGGTGCGTCCAAATTGCCGGGAATCAATCTGGTACCCTGGCCTGTCTCAGCCCGCGACTGGTTGATTTTTAATGGTGATGGATGGAGCATGAAAGAGGGCCATCAGGCTTAACTGATTGTTATTGGTTGCGAGCAAGTGCTCTAGATTTTCTAAAATGGGAATTATTTTCCCAACCCGAACTGTGGATATTGATAGGTTAAATCAGTTACCTTTTGCTACATTTCAGCACTTTGGACCAAAACCGAGTGTAATATTCACATAATCGTGACCATTTTGAGAGAGTTCGTGCCTTGTATCACTAATGACAAGTCACGGTACGTCATTCTTGACATTGTTGCAAATCCCTGTGCTGGATTTGTTTGTCAGTCCCCCTTTGTCCGCAAGCGCACCCCGATCAGGTCCCAAGGTCACCCAGGCTACCAAAGCCAACCCTCCTCCCTTCGCGGGCCACAAATCATTGTTCCTTAACTCCGCGGCACATCACGGTCAGCGGCAACTACATCCCCAGCAGCTTTGGCTCCTCCATCGAAGCCCTGGTGCAGATGCACGGTCCCATCGGCGAGATGACCCCCAAGGAGGTTAGGCGGCTGGAGATGGGCACGGCCGGACAGGAGGCGGCCAAGGGGGCAGACATGACCTTCCAGCGCTTTGACATCCCCAAAGAGATCTGGATGATGGTGGACCACCTCTTCAGGAACGCAACCAAAACGGTAAGCATTGCTCCAGTCAAGTACTTCACTAGTACTCGACTGTCTTCATTGGTACTTGAGAGGTACTTCTCTAAGTACACAAGCAAAATCAGTTTAATGCCATCAACAAAAATATTATAAAAGGAGTAAAACTGTTTAGTGTATGTTGTTGATTTTTTTTTGGAATTTTCAGGAGAATCTGTTTAGTGAGGAGGGGCTCCACAAGGACATCCTAGCCATCAGGGATAGTCTGGATATCGGGTACCCGGAAGAAATGCGTATCCTTTTGTTCTATTCAAATTCCAGCTTAGTGGATTCGTGTACAGAGCAAGAATTGGCAGGGAACCAATGACAGACAATGAATGTCTTTTCACATTTTGGCTGGTTACCAGTTTGCACTTAGCAAACATTTTAGTGCAGTAAGAAAAAGTAATACGTCAGGCAGCCTTTGTCCATTGGGCTCAGTCTGCGACGTAAATTGAAATTGATTTAATCTGGCCACATAAGGGAAAATTTCAGTTTCCTTCAGCAGTGACATGAAGAGGTGCAAGGCAGAGATTTATTTTAAATGGTGCCATTCCGATGGGGGCTTGACTATGCGCATTCAAATTGTCGTCAGATTTGGTCCTTTGATAGTAAACCCGGAAGATTTCCTTAACGTATGGACCATTTTAGCCGATAATCTGCACTCTGTTGCCGAGGCCCTGCTCATGTTCCTAGAGTCGCTGAGGGAACCAGTCATTCCATACCGCTACTACAACAAGTGCCTGGAGTGTGCCAACAACTTTGTTTTGTGTAAACAGGTGCGTTCTTCCCGCTCCATCAAAGCGGACCTTCTGTGGCTCTTGTTTATGAAAAAAAATGAAAAGAATGGCTCCATCTAAATACTGAAAATATTTTGAGTAGCCTGGCAGAGTCCATTAAAAGTCACGTCGTGGAGTGAATTTTTTTGTTTTGTTTTCTGGACGGATTATAATGTTCAAGCGCATTCAAAGACAAAATTCACATGGGATTGGCTAGCATCCGTCCTTTTTTGTCCCATCATCTCCAGGTTTTAAGTCAAATCCCAAAGAGCCATCGCAACGTCTTCAAGTATCTGGCTGCCTTCATTCGCGAGCTCCTGATGAATAGTGACGAGAACAAACTAGACACCAAGACACTCGGTAAGACCTCTCGGCTACGGCTCGGTTTCAGCCCGAGTTGTCATCAAATTGTTTACAAAATCATCCCAAGTCAGTACCGGACATCCGGTCTCAAGCCCAGTCACAAACCATTTACCTTAACTTTCTTTATCTGTGGCTTTATTTGACCTCTGTTTAGTACTTGTGACATGACCTTTGACCTAACCTAAAACCCTTCTCAAGACCTGACCTAAAATCCTTCTCAAGACCTGACTTGTTACTGATCAAATTACACTTTTAACGCAACTCTGATTTTTCCCCAAATAATGTGTTACTTTTAAAGATATTTTTTCTTCCATATCTGATGCTCTTCAAGTGAACAGTTGTCATATGACCAGATTTTGTGTCCAGGATTCCTTTTTCTCTGTTGATATCTGATTTGTTTGTGTATCTCTTTGTGCAGCCACCGTCTTCGGGGAAATTTTCCTGAGAGCACCCCCTAACGAGCGGGATGCTAACCAGGCACGAGGCCGCGCGAACATGCAGCAGGTATCCCGCAAGAGGGCCACGTTCGTCTACCAGTTCATCATCAATGAATATGACGAGTGATTACCAAACTGCCTCAGCATTATATTTGGAACAGCTCATTCATCAAAACCATTCTGAGACTGTGGACCAGTAGAAAGCCTCCGGAAAGAACGAGACACTCTGATCGATGGCCACGGAAATACGGCACAAGTCAGATTTGTGTCTGTCACTTTTGTAGAGCCATATGATCGCAGGCAGTTTGTCTGGTTGCTTTCACAACATCCTAGTTGGTCTGAATTTGCAAATTAAACATGAAATGCAGCGTTGTCAAATTTATAAATGTTTGAATAGATGTTTGTTGGATGAATTGGTGGTTTTTTTCCCAAGAAATTTCCAAGGCGGTTAGAAAAGTCTTAAGATTCAAACATATCATGTTGGTTGTTTGAAAAAAGAGCAAACAGGAAAACAAATGTTTCTTGTCAGAAACTCAGGCCAGGTCAAATTTGCTACTTAAACGATGAGTGTGAGCTGGACCAAAAGAGGGCGCAATTTTCCTAGCAACAGAGTCTCCTTGGTGGGAACTGCAGTTGCGCTGGTTCACATATGAAATGCATGCGTTGCGGTCGCGGGGCTACCAACAAAATGAACACATGCACTCCCCACCAAAATGAATCTTTTCAACCGACGACGGGGTGCTTCTGCTCAAGCTGAATGGCCAGTTTCTGTAACGAGATATGATTGTCCAGAAAAAACCAGGACTAATCTGCTACATCCCTGCGATGGACGTTGACCGTTCAGAAAGGATGCATCAACAGTCTCATTGACTGCCAGTCGTGGTCACTGATTGGCCCATTGTCAGCACATTCTTGTACCCAGCGTTGTACATGCACATGACGGCAAACACCGGCTGGTGTCATTGGTCACTATATATATATAGAGAAGGCCTCTGCATTGGTCAAGTTGTACTAAATGAAATGTACTAAGAATGAGTTACTCAATGCACAATTTAACGTAATTAAAGCTACACCAGCGTCTGAACTTAATCTCGCTCTGATTGGTCGATGAAGAGAAGCAATGCCTGTTTGATTTGGTTAGATTCTTTTCCCTTTTATTTGTGTTAAATTGGGTTTTGATTTGTTATTAATTAAGTGATGCACAGTTTTGCATGTGAACCTTACATCAATTTTAATCAGCCTTCAGATCTTAGGATTTAAACATTTTAAATTTCGATTTCAGTGATGGCACTTAATTGTTCCCATTCATTAGATGCACTTTCTCTCTTCCGTACGTCGTAGGACAGTAATATTGCCTCCGACACTTTTTCTGAATCGCGGTTGGCAGTCGGGATGAGTTTGGGTTTTTTTTCCCAAGTGAGAAAGGGGAAAAAATTAGAGAGATGGTTGGTCAAGATAATCCAGAAGTCAAATTTGAGGAAGACTTGTCCCAACCGTGGGGAGTTTGTTTTCAGCGCGCAGAAGTGCTAACCTCTTCAGCTGAGTCCATTTCTGCTACCTTCTTTACCTATTGAGACTTGGTAATGGTGAACTTTGTCTCATGTTTACCGCGTTACATGGTGGCAAAGTCTCGCTATCTGAAAAATATTTTTTAAAAATTCCAAGACTCGCTTTGTCAAGAGGAGGGAGTCCTCGTAAATGTTATTGGAGCATGGATTTGAATATTGCATTGAATCTGACCAGAATCCATTACTGTCTATATTAATATATGTATATGTGCAAAGTGTGTACTGTATTCTGTAACCTCTATTGATGAATGAAGAACCATGCCAACACATCTTCATGTTGAAAAAAAAAATTGGTTTTATTGGTATTTTTGGAGGGTGGCTTTGCTTGTTCTTGGTTTGGTTGATTTTGTGTGTTGTTTGTTTTTTAATTTCAGTTCTTTATGTTTTTATGATGTTTTTAAACGACTGACTATTTTAGTCATTGATCCGTTATCCTGGAGCTTTTATTTCATCCAAATGCTTGGCTCAGTGGAAACGCCGAAAATTAACTAGCGTTAACAACAATAATTGTAAATAGGCTAAAAAATACCAACTCCCTCCTTATGCCACTGAATCTCATTGTCCATATTTTAGACATTTAAACCCTGTGAAATATGTGTATGAAAATTGGAACATCATCTCACTGTAAAAGAAACAAGCACACAAATTTGTCTGGCCCTCATCTGTTGGAGCTTAACTCTGAATCCCTGTTGGCCAAGAAATATGTTTAGTATGTTTCTCACAGATTCGTTGGTTTTCGATTGCCTTTCAACCGAATCATGACTGTTGCCATGCAATGTGTGCTTCACGGCTGTTTGTAAATATGCTGCTGAAAAAAAAATCAAAATGTTGTATTTATAAACAGTACTAGCCTTATAAATTTAATTATTTTAGAGGTGGTGATGAATGGTATTGAGCAATACTGATTGCATTAAATTATGAAATTCAGACTGATACGCTGTTTTTGGATTTCTTAATTTTAATAAGGACATACAAGTATGTGTGTTGGTTTCTCTTTGTGACAGCACCACAGAATCGTGTCTTAAATGCCATAAAAAGCTGATTTAGACAATGCAGCATCCAAAAATAGTTGGTTATGTTTCTTCTAAAAAGAGATGCGTGATGTCCAGTGAAACTTGGATATCCCCCACCCAGGCTCCACCCCTGATGTGGCTGGAGCTGTTTTTGGTTCAAGGGCAATTACAAGGACATGCGTAGGGACTTTGTAAAAATACCTCGCGAATTTGTTTGTTTACTTGAACTTGTGTTCAGAGATGAGACGAAAATGACCGTCGAACAGTCGTCGTACTGTGACTGTCGCTGACACATTGAAATCTCGTTTTTGTAAGGACGTTTCGAGTGAGATATGAGAGCAGAACGAGAGTCTGTCTGGTGCCTCAAGCCGACAGTACTCGACGTACGCGCCTTACGTTTTATTTAGGTGCGGCTCCTGGCTAAGTCAAATGGATTAATAGCAAATTCTGAGAGTCGTGCTGCAGAGTTGCTCGTTAAATTTCTCCCCAAACCCAAAATATTCCGCCATGTTTCTAGATAAAAGAATTTCATGATGTTAAAAAAGAAGAGGAACATCCGACAGAGGGAAGAAAGCAGCGACGGGGAAGGCGAAACGACCAACCAAATTCCGTTTTTGGAGGAGACCTATCATACGCAAGTCAAAAATGTTCAGAAGTCGTTGCAGGAGAAACTCGAGAAAAAGAGCAAGAAAAAAGACGGGAAAAGTGGGGGAGCGGAGGGTGGAGGCGTCGGGGTGGGGAGCTCTGGTAGTTTGCTCAGCTTTGATCATGACGAAGAAGAAGGTACAACATCGAGAATGCAGCGATAAAAGGCCTAACTTTACTAAAACCTAATTGATTGTTTAATCTTATATCACATGTGTCCATGCATCATGCCAGTGTCTTTTTTCATCACCACCATCTTGATCATGTCTGCATGTTCATCACACTTGGTAGTTTGTCAGATTGTCAAGATTGTTGATAGAATTGTGATGCTAGCACCTGGCTAGGGTTTACCTTGGTAACATGGTTTGACCTTATTTTTTAAAGTAAATATACCTAAGTAATAAGATAATATTATTTTTGTACTTTTAGTATTTACTTTAGCCCATTAATTAATGAGCAGAAATTAGTCCTAATGAAAAAAGTAATAAAATAGCATTTTTGGCCTTTTTTGGTTGAGGTCCTTTTGGTCCTTTTTACACACACTTTTGGAAGGAAAAGACCCCCAAAATTACCTTTCTCTCATTATTTCAAAAAAGAGAAGGAAATTGGGGGAGGGGGGAGGAAGGAAGGAAGGGGGATTAGCCCCCATAATTCCCCTCCCGCCCTTTGATCCACCCTGGACACACATTTGTTCCATTCAAGAGCCACAAATATTTTCAAAGTGATCATTTTTTACAACAAAATTGAGTGTCTCTCAGTCTTGATTGCATGTTGGTGTTTCTTCCATTTGTCTGGACAGAAGGAGAAGTATTTCAGATCAAGAAGTCCAGCCACAGTAAGAAGGTAGCCAGGAAGCTGAGGGAGCAGGCCAGGAAAGAGAGACAGCGAGAGGAGTTGTCTCGGCTGGTCAAGGAGTCTGCTGAAAAGGGCAAAAAGCTCTCGGATGTAAAGGGTGAGGCAGGCTTTTCCCAACAAGAAATAGTGTTCAGAGGATAAAAAAGATGACTTTTTTGAGATGTGCCATAACGTCCAACAGTTTCCTGTGTCATTTAAAGTATGGTGTATGTTTTCCCCAGTCAACTGTACCATCAATAATTGCGAATTGGTTGCGAGTTCACTGCTCCAGTTAGCAGGATTCTTTGGGAATCGCCTCCTGCTGTGTATGGATGGATTTTGTTTGGTCCAAATTGGTTGTTTTCATTTGATGAGTTCTTTCAAAAGAACAGGACGCACTTAAACTTGGGGAATGTCAATGTTGGGTTTCGCTTATTAGCCACTTGCAGCCGGTGGAATTTGAAGTTGCATGACGTAAACCCGGTATATTTTCAAGATTTTCCGTTTTCAAAATTCTTAAAAAATCGTAGCTTCATTTACTGGACATTTATTTCAGCCAAGCCTGCCGCCTTGTAAAAAGAGCCCAGATTGTGTAGTGTTATGTAACTTTCTTTTGTTCCCAAAACTGGCACAGTGTGCTACTGGCGTCTTTTCAGTGGGGGCCAGATTAGCGTGCAGTGGTAGGTATCGCTCATCACTGGAGCGCTTTTGTCCCCGGTGGTAATCCACTCGTACTGAATGCCATAAACAGTGGTATAATCTCTCAAAAAAAGGACGGATATCCTCTGCTATTGACAACTGAAAAAAATGTTGGTAATTCCCGGTAGCTCAGTCTTTTGTTCCAAGTACGGTGCGGCTCTTTTGTCCGGTTCGGGCCCCCGGTGTATTAAGCCAATGTGCCCGAAATGGGGTTCCCCGGCAGCAAGCGGTTTACAGTGATGTGCCAAGTCCTGGAAATGCTTGTGTGCACTCCAGGTAAACAGTTTTGGTGCGAGTAAGTTCAGTTCTCGCCGTTTTTCAATTGCAGGTAACGGCGCAGCCAACAAACAGCTAGGGACAAGATCAAAGCCCCAGGATCGAGCTGAACTGATCCTAAATGGCCTGGAGGCAGAGGTAGCTGCCATGGAGGAGGAAGACCGGAGGGAGTTGGAGGAATCAGTGCCCCTCGTCGCCCCAGGTAAGAACGGCGGCAGTAACAGACTAGTAGCACGGTCACTGTTCACTTGCCTTCTACTCTGGCTTATCCCGCACAATCTTGCTCAGCAGATTTATGTGCTAAGCTGAAATGAGTAGAGCACCAGTTACAGGCAGTATTTAGACCATGACATTTGCACTGGCAACCAGTTTTGCTCAGCTCATATTTTCTGTGCTGAGCAAATCCCTGAGCTTGAACAGCTCCGAGAAAATTGGTCAAAGCTGGTCGCACAGTTCTTCCCCGGGCTAATTCTTACCTAGGATTAATAAAGCCCAAAATACAAGGACCCTTGACATTTCGTATTGAGAGTCCCTGAACTGCAATCAACAACACTTGGAATGCAAAATGGGTAATGTGCACGGAATGATTGTACAGACCTGTATTTACAAGCAAAAGAATGTCAAACATCTGGTACCCTGTCTTTATGTCATACATTTATTCCATAGTCTTGCCACCAGGCTGCAAAGTGGTCCAGTCAATTTTTTTGGAGGGGGATTTGTTTGCATGGAGGGGGATTTGTTTGCATGTGCCAGAGGAGTCTATCAGCTTCCAACGTTAAATAACATTTTTTCAAGTAACTGTTGCAAAGGACTGAAGGAAAGTTGAATTTTTAAATCTGATCTAAGGCCCAGAAGAGAAGATAAAGATAATGTTTTCCCTTCTCAATGTCAAGCAATAAACCAGTGGTTGCTTTTTTTTTAATGTGTCGCTCTCTCTCCCAGGTGTGATACCAGATGCAGCCACCATCTTCGCCGCCCGGAAGCGGCGTCAGATCGCCAGGGAGACGGGAGGCCGTGCCGACTACATCCCCCTTGACGACACGCAGCGCTACCGCAACACGAGCGGCAAGACTGGTCGGGAGGAGTCGCGGCTGGTGCGCGAGGATGACAACGACGCCAGCGGCAGCGACGAGGAAGGCCGCGTGAGCTTCACGATGAAGCAGCAGACCAGTCGCCAGCGGATGCAAGACGTGATCAGTGAAAGTATGCAGCGATTTGCTCATTCACAATATTGATCCTCCTTTTTCCTACACGGGTAGGCCCAGCTGCCGATGGGTGCCTCATACGAGGTCGAAAATAGCGAGGGACTTGGGTTAAGAAAAGTTGTGACAACTTCAGATTTTGGACAAAAGATGGCCCCACATTAAGTGTGCAGTGGAGCACATGGCTATTGCATTCTCATTGTCCAAAGTACAGTGATGCCTTGTCTGCCATGTTTAGTCCAATTTCCTGGATCCCCTTTGTCATGCCTGTATTTGTGGCTTTCCACTCAGCTACTGCTAGTGAGCAATTCATTTGTGTAGTCAAATACACTCACCAGCACATAAACTCACCTCGTTCTTGGCAGACGATTCAGCAGAGTCAAATCATACAAAGTATCCTGTTCCGTGTTTATAATGGATGATAGTTTTGAATTAAAGAGACTATGCTTTCAAGGAGTCGCCACCATCTCGGCATATTGGTAAGTTGGACTTCTTTTGTTGAATGCTTTTGCTCTGGTCTGACAAATGGAGGTCTCTTCTGTCTAGAAAAGAAAGATATATTATCCTGGCACAAGATATCGAGAGATCGAAAAACATCTGTGGTATTCTTACAAATGGGTCATTAGGGAGACATTTTGTGGTAAATTTTTCGACCTTAGGGAGACATTGGTCATTAGGGAGACACTACCAGAAGGAGGCCGAATTTTACTGTGTCCAAATTTTGAGAGATTATAGATTGGGGTCTAAATTGAAAACTTACAAAGTTTGGTTCAGATCAGATTGGGGAATATTGAATTATGGGACAGTAAAGTTTGTGCACGTTCTTATGGGAATGTCTCCCAAGTGACCCATTTTCGGTGATTTATTACATGCTCAAATAAAACTTATAGCGGCACGCTCGTGCCTGCCTCGCAGTGGAACTGGTTGGATTTTGGTGGTACAGGTTTGCCCAAATATTACAGTACACTTCCTTTCCTATGCAGTGAAATAACAGGATTTTATTTTTCACTTGTGCAGATTTACTGTGAAATCATCAGGAAGTCATCCAGCATGAGTAGGGCAGTCTAAGAAGTCTCATGTTGAGAGAGGAGCAATCTCTGTGGATCACCTTCAGGATGCTACCAGCCGATCCCGCTCTTCTGAGCTGCTCCTCCCAACCAAAGAAACGCCGGAGCAATCCCTGACTTTGTTCACCCTTCGCCTTGCCACTTTACTAGCACTTGTTTTTCCTCATTCCTCCCGGTGTAGATGCAGAGGACGGAAGCGATCAAGACAAAGACCACGACGAGGAGCTGCAGCGCTGGGAACAGGAGCAAATCAAGAAGGGCACCAGTGTACCGCAAGTCGGTATTTGATCCGCCATCGCTTCCCTAGACTAAAATTGGCGACCCCGATTAGAAGCCATTACTGCGGTGGCACCGCTCTCATGGACAGGCGGCACCGCTCTCATGGACAGGTGGCACGTGCGCATCGCATGCTTCTGTGACCAGTGGGTTGCTGTGACTTGCCAAAGGCCCACGCGCATCTAGTTTAAGAATATGTGCAAGTTGGATGCCACTGCAGTAATGGCTGTTGTGCTAAGCAAGAAATTGTGACGAAGCACAGAAAATGCCGGCCCAGCATAGAAGGTTACCAACAAAGAAGTCCTGCAAGGTTTATTGGCCTTGACTGGTTCCTGGCCAGTTGCCACTTTATGTGCAATTTGACTAACCAGTCATGAAAACTGTGAATCGACGGCAGAGACATGCTAGTTGCTTTTAATTCTAATTCGATTGGGTCCAGTTGTTTTGCCTTCTCAAGAAACTGTTTTGGACAAACAAAACCAGAATGGACGAATCCAGTGACCACAGTCGTGCTATCACTGGTCATTTCCAGTGGCCCCTGGCAATGGCAGTAAGCATTGTGATAAACTACCGTTCCATGTGACTCACTCTGCACAGGACGCAACACGGTGCCGTCCGCCATTACAGGGGGGCCCTCGGTAATGTCCAGCGAAACGTTGCTGGATTTGTCCGCGTTAAATCCTTGGTCATGACCCCAGTTGTATTTTTTCTTGCACCCCAGGCCCAAGACACTGCTCCATCGTCGTCTGCAGCTGCCGCCGCTGCCGTGGCCGCTTCCTACTACTACCAGCAGGAGTTCCCTTACGGCCAGCCCGCTAACCAGTACGCTGCACCCGTGGGTGGGGCTTATGGTCTAGGGGCTGAGCAACAGCCCATCGTGCACGCCCTGAACACGACGCCAATGTGCGAGATGCCCTCAGTGACCACTGAACAAGTCAAGAAGAAACTGAAAGATTGGTGAGGGTTTCTGCAACATGCCAAACATTGGAAATATATTCCTTATAATTTGATCTCTTCACCGAAGCCTTGTAAAAAGATCTTTTTTCTGCTGTGTAATGCAACATCTAATCTTGTCATCCCTGTGAACCCATGTTCAGGGATAAATTTGCTTGTCCTCGGGTCTAATCGTTTGGGCAATTTTTCAATAGAGCCTTCTCAAAATCCACTGCTGTGCATTGCAGCTAGCAGCAAATTTCTTGTACTTCAAACTTCCAAGGGCCATCGAGCCCCATGTCAAGCAGTGGTGGCCGGACTACACCCTTCTTACCCCTACAAAACCTTTGAAAAAACTCCTGGTGGATTTTGAAGGATCTGGAGGGAAGGATTTTGAAGGATCTGGGAGGAAGTAGCTCATCAACATTTTACCGTTGCTCCCAGAATGTGTTTCCTTGTGTTTCCGTTTCGAACCTGAAGAGTGTGTTTCTTTCTCCTACTTCTCTTGAGATCATTTCGCTGTCGTTTTTTCCTGCACACTTTTGCAAATAAACCTGAAGATTAGGTGAATGAAAGTATTCCTGATAAACGATTACTGTTGGTTCTGTCCAAGGTTTGAATCAGTCAAGGATGTTCATCGCGCCCACGAGCGTGAGCTGGACCAGCTCCAGGAGCGGTTGGAATCCTCGGCCGATACTTCCATCAGCTTGAAGGACACCCAGGGGGATGTCACCGGCCAGTACAGATTCTTCCAGGAGATGAAAGGCTACGTCAAAGACTTGGTGGAGTGCTTTGGAGAGAAGGTACATCAAACCTCAACCCCCCCCCAAAAAAAAAAACATTTTTGACCTTGTGACTGGAACATAAATTGTGATATTCTGTGTCGCATTGTTGCCAGTGTGCCCAACCCTTGCTTTATTGCATCTTTTAAATCACTTGTACATTTACCTTGAGAAAGAGCCCGGTGGTTTTTCTGCAGGAGTGTGTAAGCATTACTGCAGTGGTAGGAAATTCATGCACCCCAACGGAATCAGACAGCAGCGTTTTACTTTTTCTTTTGCTGCTTTTCTGATGTCAGAGTCAGCTGTGTACCGTCCACTCAAAAGGAATTTGTGGGGGCAGTACTACATGGGGAAATGTTCTATACGGCTGTCTCAGAAAGATCTGAGTTAACAGTCACTGTTTCCTCGTTTTGTTTTGCCCACCCCGTCCCCGCTCAGGTGGTCATCATAGACGGCCTGGAGATGGCCATGACCGTCCTGCTGAAGTCACGAGCTGACGCGCTGGCCCAGCGACGGCAGACGGACATCCGTGACCAGTCTGTGGAGTTCACTGGCATGCTGCAGCGGGCGGCGCTGTCCGCCAACTTTGACAGCGGCAGTAAGGCCAAGAGTGAAGACATCACTAAGCAACGGCGAGCGGCCGAGAGAGAAGCGAGGAGGTGGGCGGATACATGAGTTAGATTAAAAGAGAAGGCAGGATGAACTGAACCATTTTTATATCTCTGGGCTCTAAAGATCACAATTGGAATCAGAAATCTTGGATGAATATTTTCTCTAATGATAGCAGAATTTTTTGGGTAAACACTACAAACAGGTACGTCTTGGAGATTCCGCAGAAAATGTTTGGAAAACGCTGTTAAAAGATATTGCTTTCAGATGGCAAGTTTTCTTTTAAAACTGACCAGAGTATTGAATGTGTGTGTTCGCAAGTGAAGTCACATGGAGGGATGCACATGCAATACTTATTTTCATCAGAATGTGCACAAACAGTTGACTTTTCTTATGGCATGGGCACTCCTGTGTGTCGCTAAGAAGAAATGTTCCTGTCTTTCACGCAAGAATTCTGCAGAGTTCCTCCAAATCTTAGCAGAGACATTTCCCAGTGTAAACCATGGGGTAAATATTTCCCTTTGATCTCATCAGGGCTCGGAGACGGCGTGCCAGGGAAAGCCAGAGCGCCGAGGAGACGGGGAGCCACATGGAAGGCATGTCTAGTGACGATGAACAGCGGGAGAGTGATGCGGACAAGTTCAACAAAGAAAGAGGTAATGGATGCCGAAAGCCACCTTAAAAAGTCTCTGACCTTCTGAAGTCGTCTTGGAGTTAAGTGCACGAGTGATCGTTCAGAAAACGAGTCGGCAACCTTCTTGATTCGCCAGCAGAAGAAGAAAAATGTGTTTCACGCTCAAATTCATGGCTTTACAACTTTTGCCCAATAACTGACTGTCAAAAATGGTGTCAAGGTTGCATTCTGCCTGGGTTTGAGGTCGGCACAGTCGTTGTCTTGACCATTCATCCTTTGCGTTTCTTCCCCGTCCACAGACCGCATCATGGCCGAGTCGCAGCAGGTCTTCGAGGACGTGATGGAGGACTACCACGCCATCTCCTTCATCCTGGGCCGCTTCCAGCGCTGGAAGTTCCAGCACGGCGAGTCCTACCGCGAGGCCTACATCAGCCTGTGCCTGCCCAAGCTCCTCGGCCCGTTGGTCAGGCTGCAGCTGCTGGACTGGAACCCACTAGAGGTAGGACAAATCCACCGAGCCCTGTAGAATGACTGTGGCTATAAAATGGCTTAGACAAAAACCTGTTTGTACTTATGTACACTGACTTATTGGCTGTGTTTACAAATAGACTTCCTGGAATCCCAAAGCTTTGTACTGAGAGAGTGCGTTTGCCCATCTGCTGTGGTACCCTATGCCGCTACATTATAAGCTTCGCTGTCCTTTTCTGTCGTGTCCTCTGTGTAGTCCGACTGCCATGACTTGGAGGAGATGCCCTGGTACGAGTCCATGCTCTTCTTTGGCTTCCAACAGTCCGAGGACATTGACTCTGAGGACCTGGACGCCTCCCTCATCCCAAGTCTGGTTCAAAAGGTAGTGTTACCCAAACTGACAGGTATGTACGATGGCTCGTAACTGCCATTTTTCTGTCTGTCTGATGCAGATGTTCCGGTCAAACTCTTTTGTTCCATTTATACCAATTTTCTTCTCACTTTGTGCCCCCCCGTAGCCAGTTTGTTTAAAATCCTGAGGATCAGCTGATCTTTTTCACCAATCAAGCAAGAAATCTTTTGTTATTAATCAAAGTTACGAAAGTGTGTTAAGATTTAAATTTGGGTATATTGAATGGAATGTTAAATTGTTTTTTTTTCCTACAGAAACACTGTTTTTGTGTCATCAGTTGAAAACATTTTGTTAGCCATTTTAACAACTTTTCGTTTCTCACAGGATCAGTTGATTCTCTTAACACGACCTGTTTTAATGTAATATTCTTCCTCTCATTAGATATGGTCAAGGAAGTCTGGGACCCAGTCTCCTCCACCCAGACAAACAGACTGGTCAGTCTGATCCACAAACTGGTGGAGGACTACCCGACCGTCAACAGCGACAGCAAGAACACCAGGGTAGGGTGCTTGACCACAAGGAGCCGTAAAAGAGAGGCTGTGTCGAAAACCACCGACTGCGGCTAGTAATAATGCACACATCTGTGGGAAATGACTCAGCCGGTGGCTTTCATAGGCTCATGTGTTATGCCCAGTCACAGGCGGTTTGTTTGGACATAGCCTTAGAACCCCCGCCCCATATCCCACGTTTTTCCCATCTAATAGATATTCAGGCATTTCTGATGTGATAACCAACACATTTTCACAGTCCATGTTTTCTCAAAGTGTGCTTGTCTTCGAGCAGAAAGGTTGGCCAGAACGAGTCTTCAGTCTTGCGACGTGGAATTGATCGTCATTTTGATTTTCCTTTGCACAAGGACTTGCTGAAAGCGCTGGTGGAGAGAATGCGGCGAACGTTGGACGAGGACGTCTATATGCCTCTGTTCCCAAAGGAGTAAGTAAAAGACGAGAGATGCATCATTTTGTTC